TGTGGTGCTGAGGATCGAACCCAGCGCCCCGCGCATGCCAGACGAGCACATTACGGCTTGAGCCACATATCAGCCCTACAAATAATTTTTAAAAAAATAAATCTGGTATGATTTTCAGTTTGTTTGTGTCTTTGGTGAGGCATTGATTAATCTTTTCAAGAAAAAACAGTAAGGATAGAAACAAATTTCGAGGGGGTTGGAATGTAGCTCAGGGGTAGAGCACATGCCTAGCTTGCCCGACATATAGGAGGCTCTGGGTTCCATCCGCAGCCCAGGGAAAAAAATGGGCAGGAGGAACTCAGAGAGGAGAGGGGTGAGGAGTTCAGAATGATGAGGCGTGTCAAGAAGCAGGATCAGCAGAGGTCCCAGTTCCCGAGGACAGTTGCTCCAGGTTGAGAAGGAAGAGAGGCCGGGGGTGGTGGGTCCTGGAATCCCTTGGTGCTTGGCCCCGTGGTGGTGGGAGAGAGGCTGCCGGGGAGGGCTAGGAAGCCAGCTTACCCAGTCCTAAGCCAGTACACTGTGGAAATGTCCAGAGAAGGGGACAAACTGATGGAGTTCAGGGAACAGTACCCAAGCACAGCACTTTTGTTTTTTCTTTTGTTTTGTTTTGATTTTACTTACCGGGATGAAACCCAGGGCCTCGCGCAGGCACATGGGCAAGTGCTCTACCTCTGAGCTACATGCCAACCCTGACCTTGCATTTAAGAAAACCCCAGAATCAGAACAGTCTCTCTCACCTTTCCCCTCACCCTTCACCCTGAAGCAGGCCACAGGACCCTCATGTGAAGTTTCTCCCTGTTCCCAGAGGAAAGAAAAATCTTATCTCTGAAGAGGATGTGGGGACACAGAGGAATCTGAACAAACAGGCCTTGCTAAAGTCCCTGTTAATTGCTATCGGCTCAGACTCTCTTATCCCATCAGATTGCTCCACAACCACCCACTTCTCCACCAAAGCTGGCATGAAATCCACGCAGCTTGACAGGGCTGGGCTGCAGCTCAGTGCTAGTGTCTGCCCAGCACCCGTCAGGCCCTGGGTGCACTCCCCAGCACTGCAAAAAGGGAAAGAAAAAAAATGCACAGTTTGGAGCAGATGTGGTGTTGCACTCCTGTAGTTCCAGCCTTTCAGGAGGCTGAAGCAGGTGGATGGCAAGTTTGATGCCACCTGAGAGATTTAGTTGAGATCCTGTTTCAGAATAAAATTTAAAAGGGCTGGGGTGCAGCTCCGTGGCAGAGCCCTTGCCCAGCATGCCTGAGGCCGTAGGTTCCCGCCCCAGCACTGCCAAAGCAAAGTAAAACACACACTCAGAACTCCACCTGTTCTTTTGGTATTCATTTACCAACATCCCTTGGTCCTTTAAATAAATTTGTATGCTTTTTGCTTTTCTCTTATTAATCCTGTCTCTTTATTTTATTTGTAGGGACCTTCTCTGTGAGCCTCCCTGTGGGCAAGAAAGGAAATCTTTCCTCCCTATAGATTCCACACAGGGGGGAAGTTCCTGTGCCCAGGCAAGGGCACAGCTCTGCCCTAGGCCAGCCACCAGCCAAGCAGCACACAGGAAGTTCTGCTTAATCACAAACAAGGTCAGTGTGAAAACCAGCCCAGGCGGAGCCCTCAGAGTTGAGGAGCGAAGCCTCCAGGGTTTTTCCTATACTTCTCCAACTCAGAAGTGGTGGCTGTTATTTTCCTGCTTATCAAGTTAGAATTTTAAGAACCACTGGAAAGTTGGGAAGATCACCTGTCTCCTACCCCCCAAAGGTTGAAGCAGACCTCAATTTAAAAAATTGTTCTCTAAAACAATTTAAAAGTGTCTTCTAAGTATTCACGTTGAGTCTTTAGTGTTTGCCTGGATGAATTTGAAAACAAAGGTCAGAAGCATTATTTGTAACTTACTGTAGGCATTTCAAAAGAACAATCTCTGGCGAGCACTTCGAAGTTACAGAAATAGACTGTTGGGTCACTTGCTGATTAAAATGGAAAAGCTGAAAAATTTCCAAGCGGAAACGAAAGGAGTCTAGACTGACCACTCAGAAGAGCGTGTGTGACACGGGGCAGCCATAGCGGTGGGGGCCTTGCCAGGATGCTGTTCAAATCTGGGTGTGGACAGGGGGTTCTTTAGCTGCCCAGCTGCTTGTGGCCAGGAGGCTTTCTCGGTGGATGTTTGTAGGGACAGGGTTTGCACGGGCAGCCTGACTCCTGCAACTCTGCCCATGCCAAACAGCAGGAGAGTATGTCATCAACGTGGGTGTGCATCTGTGTTGCCAGGCAACCCCATGTGTCCAGGCGTGTCTGTTTCTGGAGTCCATAGAAAACCCTGTGTGGCTGGTATCCAGGGCTGGGATCGTCCTTGTGTGACCATTCTGATGACCACTGGCCTCTAGTACTGGGACTCACCTCTGGGGTTCTCCCACATTGCTGTCTCTGGAGGTTGTGGCCATGTTCAAGGCCCTCTTGTCCTTGTTTTGGACAGTTGAAGGCTCTAGAAACACAGTGCTTGTGGTAGAGAGTTTAGAGGGCAGAAGCTGTTCTTCCAGACGCCCCTGCTTGGGGGCTAGCCATGGGTATCAGGTGGCTTTGGCACCTACCCAAAGCCTCTTACCTACCTTGCAGGAATCTTTTTGTCTTCTTTTTAAGTAGTGGGAATTAAACCCAGGTGCACTTTACTACCAACTCACATCCCTAGCCACCCCCACTTTTTAAAGAAAACTTGAGACAGGGTCTCTCTAAGTTGCTCAGGTTGGCCTAGATCCTCTTGCCTCAGTTTCCTGAGTAGCCAGGATCACAGTCATGCAACAACTCACCCAGCTCTCCAGGAATCATTTTTTTTAATATTTATTTTTTAGTTGTAGTTGGACACAATACTTTTATTCCATTCATTTATTTATTTTTATGTGGTGCTGAGAATCGAAACCCAGAGCCCTGCACATGTTAGGCCAGTGCTCTACCACTAAGCCACAATCCCAGCCCCTCTCCAGGAATCTTTTGAATTCAGTATTGGCAATCAGTTCAAAGTCTCTTGGTACCAAGGGTTGTGATCATCCAAGCAAAAACAAAATGTCTAGAAATGTAATGAGGTAGACTTATGTGTGTTTAAAATGTGTCAAAAGGAATTTTTTTAATGAAGAACTATTGTTTGTAGTGGCACATGCCTGTAATTCTAGATACTTGGGAAACAAAGGCAGGAGGATCACAAATTCGAGAATATCCTGGGCAACCTAGAGAGACTCTGTCTCAATAAAAAATAAAAAGGTCTAGCGGCTGGGGAGGCTGAGACAGGAGGATCTCAAGTTCAAAGCCAGCCTCAGGAACTTTACAAGGCACTAAGCAACTCAGTGAGCCCCTGTCTCTAAATAAAATTCAAAATGGGACTGTGGATATGGCTCAGTGGCCGAGTTCCCCTGAGTTCATTTCCCAGTACCAAAAAAAAATTTAAAAGGGCTGTGAATATAGCTCAGTGATGGAGTGCGTCTGGGTTCAATTTCCAGTGCAGGGGGGCGGGGGCTTTAAAACATTTGAATAATGAAACCAACATCTTTGGGTTAACCAGAGAACTTTCTAGGATGCTTCCTTTGCGGTTCTGTCCTATTTTGGTTTTGGAAAGACCACTTAACACTGCAGAGGTGGAAGCGCGTTCGGGCCAGGAGGCGACCCTCCTGCCGCTCAGCCCAGGGAGCCGCCCGGAGCGGGTGCAGCCCGGGGCGGCCTCTGTTTTCTCGGTGTCTCTGGGTGTGTCTCGGGTGGCGCACCAGCAGGCTCTAGGCGTGTCGCACCTCCGGGTCGCCGCCTCGGCGGCGGGGAAATTCCAGGGCCGATCCCGCTGCGGTGAGACATTATTTCCCGGGGAGGAAACCGCTCTGCGCGGCGGGGACGGCAGTGCCCGCTGGGGAGGGCCCGGCCCCGCGCGCACGGGTAAATTTACACCTTCTCCTCGGTTCAGCCGCGCCGCCGGGACCGGGCGGGGAGCGGAGGGGACCCTGTCCCTCCCGCGGCGTTTCGGGGCGGTGAGGAATTGTCATGGGGGAGGGACGGAGGAAAGACCGAAGCAAAACGGGCGCTCGCCTGTTTCGGAACCGGGCCGTGTCCGCGGGCCCCCTAACTCACTTCACTCATGGGAAAGTATTGTCCCACGGCTGTTTGTGGAGAGCCTCAGTCCCTGGAGCGACCTGGATGGAGACCAACTCCGTCCCCATTTCCTGTCTGGTGGAATTCCAGAGGAGAAAGGCACTAAGTGCACCCGAGAAACGCGCCATGGGGACGCGCAGCAGAGGCACCCACAGCTCCAGGACCACTGACCTCTTGGTTCTGGTCTCTGCTCAAACGCCCCCCCCTGACCCTCCCCGTCAGCTGTCTCTCACTCTCTGCTCCTCACCCGTCATTTTCTTCCTAGTGCACCGTGTCAACTGACCACAGCATGTGTTCTCCTACTGGACAGGCTCTTCTCCAGAGTGCCAGATCCAGGAGAGCAGGCCTTGATTTTGCTCACTGCCGCGTCCCTGGTGCCCAGAGCAGTTGATCATATTAAATGAACAGTTAATATGCGCCAGGTGCCGTGTTGTGTTTCACAAGGACCATCTAATTCATGACAGCGCTCTGAGGGTTTTTACCCAAGTAGAAAATGAATCCCAGAGAGGTGAAGATTACCCTGGCATCTGTGCTCATGCACCTTCCCTTAACCACTGTTGCCACATGAGAATGAGCCCTTCCCAGCTTTGAACATCCTCTGCTGTAGAAACCACCCTCCCTATGGTCCACACTTGTGAGCTCCCCAAGCCAAACTCGGGGATGCTGAGCCAAACCCCAGCACCTGGCTGCCCACCCCAGCCAGCCCAGCCACCCCAGCCTTTGGGGACAGGGTGGGGAGGAGAGGTGCACTCATGCCCAAGGGATCCACAGTACACCTCTATGAAGAGTTGTTTCTGTTTTAGCCCAGAATTCCCCTTGTCTAAAAGCAGAGCCTCCAAAAACAGTTCAACTGTCATAATTCTCCCTGGAGAGTTTCACAGCCAAGAAAGATGGAAAAAGTATTGTCATAAGATATTATATCTCCCTCAGGTACCGTGGCACATGCCGGTATTCCCGGTGACTCAGGAGGTAGAAGGATCCCAAGTTCCAGGCCAGCTTCAGCAACTTAGTGAGACCATTGCTTCAAAAATAAAAAAGTCTGGGAATGGGCTGGGTTGTGGCTCAGTGGTAGCGCGCTTGCCTAGCATGCATGAGGCATTTGGCTTGATCCCCAACACCAAATAAAAAAAACTAAATTAACAAAGGTATTGTGCCCATCTACAACTTAAAGTATTTATTAAAAAAAGTCTGGGAATATAGCTAAGTGGTAAAAGTGGTTAAATCCCCAGTAACACACACACACACACACACACACACACACACACAGAGGTATCATCTTTACCATCTACTCTCCACACATTTGTCCTCTTTAAAAATTATTCGTTTTCCCATAAGTGCTCTTTTCACCCTCCCTTCTCCTATTTACATGTCCCAAATTCTAAACACCTGCTTAAATCACATTTTCCTGTGAATTCCTGCCTATGTACATGTCTTTCCTCTTTTTAATCTGTCTGTTGCTGGTTTAATTTGCAGGCTCCAGTAATTTAACCTATGGGGATGGAGGAAGGTAGCTTCTCCTGCCAAACAGATTCTCAGCGTCCAACACTGCTGGTGCCTTCCCTCCAATGGAAAAAACTTGCTGACCCCTTGCCATCGCTGGTGTCCAGGACACCTTTACAAGCTAATTTATCTCCCATCGAGTGTGCATCCAAGGGTACTATGATCTCTACAGCTGAGTTTCCTTCTCACAAAGTGAACATGTGCTAGAATGTTTGCCTCACCCAGGAGGGCCACCATCTAGCGACAGGGTCAGCAGGTCTTAGAGGTTAAGTAGGCACTTACTGTGGAGGACTCACTGTGGTCTTCAGGGCAGCCCCTCGCTCTGTGGGAGAAAGGGAATCCCTTTTGGAGGACCAACTCAGTCATCTAACTCCCCAAGGATGTGGATGGACTGAGCAGAATGCTGTCTTCTTACTTGCTAAGAGGGGCCAGAATGAAAGGGGACACACAGGAGACAGCACATCTCCCTCAGTGCAAGCCTATTTATGAGCATGATGGGTAAAAACTAAACTTGGGCCTGCTCTGGGCAGGGGAAGAGAGGCCCACACCCAGGGAGCTCTGCAGGGGCTGTCTAAACTCTTCCTGGAACCCTGTAACATCTTTATGAGGTCAATGACTTCTGTCCGACTTGTGCAGTGAGCAAATCTCGGATCAGACCCAACTGGCTGCAGATATAAAGAGGGTGGCACTTATTGCCAACACCAGGGCAGCTTGAGAAGGCAAGGTTGGTCTGTGCATAGACAGGGATCATGGTATCCCAACACCTGGATGTGGGGACATCACAGATGAAGTCCTGTACCCATAGTCCCCTACCTCTGGCTCCTGCCCAGAATTCTCCCATGTGTTCCTTTTCTTTTTCCTTTTATCTTGTTAGTGCTGGGATCAAACCCAGGGCCTCCCGCGAGCTAGGCAAATGCTCTACCACTGAGCTCCACCCACAGGTCCTGGGTGTGTGTGTGTT